TGTTTCTGCAGCAAAACTGACTGCAGTTGACAGTGGAAGGGAATCCTAACCAGGGCCAGTTGGCAGTGGAAGGGAATCCTAACCAGGGCCAGAGCTGCTTCTCTGGTGGACTGCTAACTCACTGATCCATTAATTATTTACCCCTGCACTGCTTCGTAGTGTGACTTGAATCCCATTTTCAAGTGAGAGGCTGGATTCTCCTTTACAATTTTCTTTTCTCCATTCTCTACCCCTCTGATTGCCAGTTGCAGGTCACAGATCTGTGAAATTCTTGTCATGAAACTGAGGCCCTGGAGGAACAGCCTGAAAGGGGTCAAACCTGTCGGAAAGGTATCCAAATACCACGGCCCCCATCGTAACACCGATGAAGAAGAAGGTTGCTGTTGCCTGGTTCAGTCCACGGTGCTCACACACGAGGTCCCACTGAAACACAAGGTGAAAATGACACTGAGTGCCCAGTTTGATCTCTGTTGCCTTTTCACACCCCTTCACTGCAGCGGTCAGCCATCGTGTCTTGCAATTTATATCCATCAAATCTGATTGAGGGGTAGAATCCTGCACTAAACCGCACATGAGACAGAGCTGGAGTACTGAAAAATGTAAAGTTGAATCTTACAGAAGTCACAGTTACCTATGCTACCTATGACAGCCTCCCTGTGAACACTTCATAGAATCATAGAATATGCTGAGTTGGAAGACACCCATCAGGATCATTAAGTCCAGTTCCTGGCCCTCCACAGGACACTGCAAGAATCAAACCGTGGGTCCGAGAGAATTTCTAAACACTTCTTGAACTCAGACAGTCTTGGTGTAGTGAGAACTTCCCTGAGGAGCCTGTTCCAGCGCCCAACCATCCTCTGGGTGAAAACTTTTTCCTGATATCCAACCTGAACCTCCCCTGACTCAGTTTTGTGCCATTTCCTTGAGCCCTGTCACTGGCAGCAAAAGTGAAGAGATCGGTACCTGCCCCTTCGCTTCGCCTTGTGAGGATGTTGAAGACCACAATTAAGGTGTCCCATAAGTCTCCTCTTCTCTGGGCTGAACAAACCAAGTGATATCATCTGCTCCTCATAAATGGCTTTCTCCCTCTCCTCCAGACGCTTCACTATTGTCTTGGCCCTCCTTTGGATGCTCTCTAGTAGCTTAATATTTTTTTTTTATTGTGGCGCCCAAAGCTGCACACAGGACTAAGGGTGAGGCTGCCCCAGTGCAGAGTGGAGCAGGAAAATCATATCTTTTGGCCAGCTGGTGATGCTGTACCTAATGTACCCCAGGAGAGAGCTGGATATCAGAAAACTTTCCTGGGTACCAGGCATGGAGAGTTTCCCTTTTTTCTTTTCCTGATCCCTGCAATACTTGCCCAGGTCCATGTCTCCCCCAGATCCCTCTGTCATGTCCCTGAGACTGCCCTGGTGAGATGGGCATTTGTAGGGTGCCCCCACTGCAGGGTTTGTAACACATGCCTCAGCCTGCATTAGGGAATGTTGTGTTGATAACCCACTTTCTGTTGCTCTGACCAGTTTCCTTTGAAGTTTTCTGTGCAGGGAGAAGGAGGGCAGAGGGGAAGTGAGAACAAAAAATTGCTCTTAACATTAGCTTATTGTTTTCTTACTGAGGAGTTGGTTCAGACATTCATCCTAATTAAATTAATGAACATAATTTTACTTTCTTGGAGTTTCATATGCCACTAATCATTACAGAATGCTGTGGCCAAGATGCAGAGTTAGTTTCCTGTATGTGCAAAACTTAATCATCAACCCGGACTCGAAGCCTCTCTGACAAGGCCAGTGAGACCTTGAGCAACCTTTCCTGCTGCAGAAGCAAGAGTCCAGAGAAAGCCCTGGCCTCTTGAACAGGTCCTGAGCCCACTGCACAATGGGAGCAGCATCACAAGGCTCCGTGCTGCAGAGCACCTCCTTCTGCCTTTTCCCCAAGACTGCTTTACATCTCTCTCCCTAAAGCACTGCAGAAATGAGGTACAGACCTGGTGCACGTCTGATCCTCACCTGCATGCCTGATGAAAGCAGGAGTGGGTGGGGTAGTGGGGAGGAGGCACCAGCCCTAGGTTAGCACTTTTCCCTGCTCTCACTGAAATGGTCAGCACTATCATTTCCAACACAACTA